AGACTGTGGAACAGACCATCAATTACTCATATGCAAATTCAAACTGAAGCTGAAGAAAATGAAGGCAATTCCATGAGAGCCAAAATATGACCTTGACTATATATCACCTGAATTTAGAGATCATCTGAAGAACAGATTTGATACATTAGACACTAAAGACCGAAGACCAGAAGAGTTGTGGGATGCCATCAAGAACATCATACAGGAAGAAAGCAAAAAGTCATTAAGAAGACAAGAAAGAAGGAAAATATCAAAATGGATGTCAGAAAAGACACTGAAACTTGCTCTCCAGAGTAGAAATGCTAAAGCAAATGGAAATTCGGACTCAGAGACCCTATAAAGGGTATCCGAGATCAGCTGGTGGGTCTAAATCGCTGACCTTCTTGTTGTTATTAAGTGCCATCCAGTCAGTTCCGACTCACAGTGACCCTGTGTAGGATTTCTGAGGAGAAGCTGATGAGTTTGAACCGCCAACCTTACAGTTCAAACCAACTTTAAGGTTGAATGCTTATCCTACGGTGCCACACCAACCTTACAGTTATACTGATTTTGTCAAATTTTCTGTTTCAGTTACAATACTGAGGTAAGTAGCAAGAATTTTGCTGAGAATGAAGTAGTAATTAAAGGAAAAGAAGAAAAAATTTTAAAGGCTTCCACTCAGTTAATAATGTGTGTTAACTAATAATGTTGTAATTTAATTTAGAAAGAAGTTAAAAAACAATTTTGTTGTTAGTATCCATATAATCTAAGAAATATATTTAAGCAACTTACAACCATACTTATCACGTATTAATTACTCTATGATAAAAACTAATAGTAAACATTACCAGTGGTTCGGTATGGTCTGGTATGAAAGGAGGTCCCTGAGGGCCACTCACTGCACATAATGATTAAGTCCTCCGAACGTTTGTATGACACTGAGGGGCCATTTACCATGGTCTCATGAGACACATACACACAAAATTACAGAATTTCCTTTGGGTGAACGGAGCCCTAGTAGCACAGTGCTTAAACACTCAGATGCAAAACAAAACGTTGGCAGTTCAAACCCATCATATGCTCCACTGGAGAAAGATGTAGCGTTCTGCTTCCATAAAGACAACAACCTTGGAAACCCTCTGGGGTAGGTGCGCTCTAGCCTACAAGGTGGCTGTGAGTTGGCAGCAGTGGCTGGGCTTGGGAGGGTCTTTGGGTGGACCCCCCTTCATTCAGCTATATCTGCCTCTACCTTTCTGAATTGGCACCCCTTCTATCACTGCTTGCTGTTTCTTCTACAACCACTGCTCCTACTAGGATCTCGGAGCTATGACGAATGCACTGTCTTCACTCTTCACTCTCCCAGATTAATTTTATAAAAATATATCTTGTTCCTGAGGATTTGTTCATGCAGACATCACTGATTTTGTACTTCCGTTTGCACTAAAAATATATGCATCAAATATTCTTATCATTGGGGTGCAGTCTCTGGCCCTTTAACTCAGAATAGAAATCAGCGTTTTTCATATCTACTAGCGTGTTTCAAGCAGAATGCATTTCCTTCTGGAGTACTGACTATTCTCATTTTTTAAAAAGCTATATTAATATAAGTCATTGTAATAATAAATCTGCATTTCCCCTTTAATTTATACATAAAAGTGCCTTACCGTGAATAAATGGAGAGGTCATCTTCTGTGAGGCCATCTGAGAGGTTAATTCCATAAACCTCTTTCATGGGCTGGACCACATTCTGGGATTAAAAAAGAAACCAGGAAGAATTCTCAGTTAATAGCTAAAATATATTTATACGTGATTTCTATTTCCACTAAAAATAGCCTACTTCAAGGTTAAAAAAACCATTACAGGATTATTATTAGTTGCTTCTATATAGTGTAGGAGTTGACAACTTTTTTCTGTAAAAGGCCAGATAGCAAATATTCTAGGCTTTGGGGATAGTAACATCTGTGTTGCAATTACTTAGCTATGCTGTTATAGAGTAAAAGCAGTCATATACAATATATAAGCAAATACATATGACTGATTTCTGATAAGCACTGAACTGCTAACCAAAAGGCCAGCAGTTCAAATCCACCAGCTGCTCATGGCAACCCTAGACATGGTCACTATGCGTCAGAACCGACTCAATGGCACACACAACAGTAGACTGGATTTAGCCCAAGGTCATAGTTTGCTAGCTCCCAGTAAAATGGATTTAGGTGTTAAATTATAACATTTTAGTTGTTATGTTGTTATTGTTGTTAGTGCCTTTGAGTTGGCTCTGACTCATAGCAACCTTATGTAGGGTTTCCAAGGAGTAGCTGGTGGGTTTGAACCACCGACCTTGCTAATAGCAGTCCAGTGTTTATCCTACAGTGCTACATCTCTACTTTTAGATGATTTTTGGACTTCTCTATAAATCAAAATTTCCCAAGGCTAGCTTTGGTCTTTTGTTGTTTGCTTCCCTTTTGTTTTCCCTTAATGTATGAGTATGTCAAATTGAACAGGATGAACTTCCCACTGGGCCTATTCAACGACTCTGAGGCCAAATCCCCTGCATTCCTACACCATGTGAGCAAGGGAGTACATGAACACCACCTCCAAGAGGGACAAGATTCTCTTAGAAATTAATCACTATATATAAGAGCAAAATCCCAATTTAATTTCAAATTGAAACCCTTTTCAATAATGTCTGTCTAAATGTACCCATCCTATCCAGTGCCTCAAACTCCACACATCAAAATGTTGTGAGGCAGATAACATGGCATTTCTCCCTCTCAGTCTGACTGAAAATAGAATCTTTTTTTGTTTTAACTGTAACAATACATATGCAACAAAACATTTGCCATTTCAACCACTCTTAACTGGAAGATCCATCTCATACCAACCACACTCCCCAGGTTGAACAACCATTATCACTATCCACTTGCAAATCTTTTTATTCTTTAAACAGAATCTTCAAGATGATCTCCAGAGTGTCTTGTAGGCTGAACAAGCTCCGCACTTCCCCCTGCCTAGGCTCCAAACACACACACACCTCGGCAACTTTGGCACTATCTCCTGCGTCGGTCATCTTCACCGGGGTGGAGCGCTGAGACACTGACCCTTCATCTTCCCGGTCAGTCCCAGAATCATCCTCAGAGCTGCTGGAGACTGCCTCCTCGCTGGGGGGTGGGGGGGCGCTGGCGGCGGTCTTACGCTGTAATACGGTTTCTTCTCTGTTGCTTTTGTTTCTTTAAAAAGGTAAAACTGAATGTGACGTCACTTTAACTGAACCCTCAACACTCACTGTGTATTGCTCTGCCCAAAGACTTACTCTTAGTGAAGCAAAAGGGCATGACTGTGAGAACCTAATTTCTGGGTTCAAGTTGCACTGAAGGAAAAAGTTCAATACTCATATGTCACCATGTATGCTACTGACCCTAAGTGAATTTAAGCCCTGTTATGGAATCCTGGTGTGGCGCTCTAGGATAAGCACTGGACCGCAAGGTCATTTGAATAGCAAGGTCAGCAGTTCAAACTCACCAGCCATTCCTTGGAAACCCTATACAGAGTAGTTGTAAGTCGGAACCAACTCGACAACACTTAGCAACAAGGACAATGAATTCAGAAAATAAAAAGCATGTACTTGCAGAAAGCCTAAAAGTCTTCTTAACATTTGGCTACAGGGCCTTCTTTTGATGGATAAAATGAGTATTTTCAAAATTTATGGTACAGTAATAGAAAATCTGGAGTCCTGGTATGGCATTGTGGGATGTAACACTGGCTCTCAAGGTCAGAGGTGCAAACTCACCAGTTGATCCTTAAAACCCTACTATACAGGGTCACTGCGTCAAGTCGGTTCTGACCCATAATGACCCTGTACAAGGTTTCCAAACAGCAAACTGGTGAATTTGAACCGCCAATCTTGCAGTTCAAAACTGACTTTGCAGTCCAGTGCATTAATCCACAGCACCACACCAGGACTCCAACAATAGAAAATCTGTAAGTTTGAGATATTAGTAAAATTACTTATAACTTGTATGAGCTCCAAGAAAAGGTCAATAGCCAAAACCATACATACAAGTTGTTGTTGTCGTTGTTAAGTGCTGTTGAGTCAGTTCCTACTCATAGGGACCCTGGTTAGGGTTTCCGAGTAGTGGCTGGTTGAGTTTGAACTGCCAACCTTGTTGTCCAATGCTTGTCCTACAGCGCCACACCAGGACTCCATATATACAAGTGAGCTTCAAAAAGTTTGTGGAAAAAAAACATTATCTTTTCATTCCATTTTCCCACGAACTTTCTGAAGACCCCTTGCATTTCCATCTCTCCTGTGGTTTTTTAAGAATTAACTTAAAATTAACAAATAATAAAGTTGATTATTTGTACCAAAATAAAGAGCAAATGATGAATGCACACTAAATTTTAATTATGTTACTGGTAAATCACTCTATTTGTGAAAGATTCCCTATAATAGTAGAGTATAGATGGAAAAAGACAAAAAAATAAAATGCACTCATAAAAGTATTCACTTTTATTTTTGTGCCAAATTTGAGAATAATAAGAATATTGTTTCTTTAAAAAAAAAAAAATTTATTTTGTTGTTGCTGAATATATACCCAGCAGAACATCACACCAATCCAAAAATTTCTAGATGTACGACTCAGTGACTCTACTTACATTCTTCAGGTTTTACTACTATTCTCACTCTCCTTTGTTGAGTTGTTCCTCTCCTACTAACATAAACCCACTGCCCGCTAAGCTTCCTATCTCACCTGCCAAGTTGCTGTCCTCAATTCAATCCCACGTACAAAGTTCTCGAAAAGAGCATGATGCTCAAAGCCAACATTCCTTACTAATTCAGTTACACTGTTGTTCGGTTTCCGGATGTGGCTCTGTGGGTTAATGTTCTGGACTGCAAAGTTGGTTGGAACTACAAGGTCATATGCAGTTCAAGCTCATCATCTGCTCTTCGGAAACCCTGTAAGGGTCGCTATGGGTCAGAACCAACTCTGCAGTACTTAAGGACAACAACACCAATTGTTTGGTTTAAAGAAAACTTCAGGAGATATTTTTGGTTTAAGGCCTAAAGATTATGTAGGGACAATGGTTTTGGGGATTCATCCAGCCTCAATGGCACCAAAAAAATCTGGATTCCAGAGAATTTGAAATTCTATTCTGCACATACACACCATTTTAATCTTTAATCAAAATGTCCGATAATGATACCTGAGTACTATCCAGACAAAACTGTTTCTTAATTCAGGAAGTATTTTACTGTAATACTTGGGGATTTTGTGAAGAATGTTTACTATTTCACCTTTAAAAAAATTCTCTGTAAGGGGCTAAAAATGCCAAAAATTGTGAAATATTCTAGAAAAGAAAAATGGAATACTATTTGATCTTGCATTCGATGTTGTAGAAAACAAATGAGTTTCTGACCTTCAGTAACTCAAAATTGAAGTTGACAGCATTACTGTGTTATGCACTAATGTAGTTGGTCATTGACTTAATAGCTTTGGTAACCCTTGAATTCAAAACTTCATTTTTAAAGATTTTCCTTTTTAAAAATTCTTCTCAGCCCCTTATCTAGGGTTTAACATGCAGCTATCTGAAGAACACATATTTAAGCTACAGGCATGGTGTATCTGGAAAATATTAATATGAAGAGCTTCAAGAAGTTTGTGGGGAAATGGAATGAAAAGATAACAATTTTTTCCAACATCTTTGGAATCCACGCCCCCCCCACCCCTATATATATCCCATTATACAAGTGGCTAGAAGTCCATTGAAATTGCCTACATATTCCCAAATACAATTCGTATCTGTACTCTTACCAGGGTTTCTGGTTAGAATGTAGAACAAATCTTACTATCAGAATTAGGTGGTCAGTGGAGGTGAGAGATTCTTATGCTAAAACATGACATATTTCAGTCCAATATCTAAGCAGGAAGATGCAAACATGGTTTGTCTTCTTCCTCATATGACTGAATATAATTGCTGTCATACAATAGACAGTCTTAATAATACACAGAAATCTTTATCTGAGCATATTTGCTTTTATGGTTCTTTCCAACAAAACTAAATACACTGAATATAAGTTTTATTTAAGTATTTCACTTTACAGGAAATACAGGAAGCTGACTTATTTATATAACAAGATATATATTCTGCTACCTGCCTTCATGCCGTTATGTGCTATGAGGAGGCTTTACAAAGTTTGTGGAAATTCCATTATTTTTTATCCCAGTTTTCCATGAACTTTCTGAAGTTTTTCCCCTCATATTTGTTAATTTAAAATAACAAAGTGCAATGTGTTGGCGAAATTTTCACACATTCTACCTTCACTATTGAATACTACAGAAATTTCAGCACTAGACACAAACTACATGAATAAATACAGTAAGTAGAATATTCCCTAAATTATGTGACTTGATATTATTTGTTTCTGCTGGAAATTAATATTGCAAAGAATATTATTTTACATGAATCTTTAAAATCTTATTTTATATGCAAATCTTACCCCAATACTGATTTTCCAGTCTCATCAGGCTTACGTACAGTAAATGGACTTGGATCAATGCCAATGGTCTTAGGCATAAAGTCACTGGAGAAAGGGGAGAAAAAAACAAATTTCCATATGAATTATTGCCCATTCAGATGATGCTAATGTACATCTGACTGTACACCCTTAGAATACTTTTCCTTAACCCTAGGGGCTATATATACTCAGAGCCAAATATACGGGGGGTGCTTCAGATAATCAGGGCCATCAAACCCCATCAACTAACGTGCCAGCTAACTTCAGTGTCATCAGTCTTCACTGTGAATTCTCCATGTTGATGGAGCCCACTGGTGTTGAATTTAAGGTTCTATTTACTAGAAGTGTTGCTATCTGAATTTACTGCTAAGATGCATTCCATCTGGTTATATATCACAATTAGTTGTCAGATAAAAATTAAACTCATAAAAACCAATGGCAAAACACTAAGCTGTTCAGTTTTATAGAAAATGCTTTTAAGCTCTACCACCTAAAGAGTCTGGCATAATGTTCAAAAACACAGTGGTATGAACTGAAGTATCAATATCTACCTCATTATGCTGAGGTTCATTCATTAAGACATTGTTGGAACACCTCATGTAGAAACTGTTTTAATTTACCACTTACTGAGATAAGCCACAGCTACTTACTCATTATGCAAGGGTTCCTGGTGGTGCAGTGGGTTAGGCATTGGCCTGGCTGCTAACTACAAAGGAGAGTGGTTTAAACCTACCAGCCATTCTGAGGGAGAAAAGTAAAACTGTCAGCTCCTGTAAAGATTTACAGTCTTGGAAACACTACACAGGGTTCGCAATAGTGGGAATCAGAGTCCTAGTGTGGTGTTGCTGGATAAACATTGGATTGCTAACCACAAGGTTGGTGGTTCAAACCTACAAGCTGCTCATTGGAAACCCTATACAAGATCTCTATGAGTTGGAACCAACTTGACAACACTAAACAACATAGTTGGAAACAACTTGATGGCAGTGAGCTACCATACAATTAGTGCCAAAACCAGACTAAACTCCTAAATACATGACAAAAACATCAGTTCCATGATCTGATAAAGCAAGGAAGTTATTCCAAGTATGTAACACATTTTTCTAAGGAAAACGAAACAGTCTTGAGTCAAATTCAGAATGCCTATGTTAGCAGTTTGAAAAGATTTTAAAATTGTAATTGATTTTTCCTTCGTTCATTTTGAACACATATATCTATATATACAAGGAGCTCTGATAGTGTAGTGGTTTATGAATCGGGCTGCTAACCTCAAGGTCAGCAGTTCCGTAGGGAAAAGATGGGGCTTTCTGCTCCCCTAAAGATTGACAGCCTCGGAAACTCTGTATAGGGTTGCTATGAGTTGGTTCCAACTAATAGTGACTCTGCATAGGGTTTCCAAAGCTGTAAATCTTTAGGGAAGCAGAAAGCCTCATCTTTCTCCCATGAAACAGCTGGCAGTATACATGTAATATTCCATCCTTTGCTGAGTTGAAAAATTCTAGAAATGGCAAAGATTTTACAGTTAAAATCTAAGCTTTAACAAACTTAATTGAAAATCAGCCAAGTAAAAATTTCATACTTTTTATGATCATCTGAAACTGAGTCAAAATGAAGAGTGACTTCTAGAGAAACAAAACCACATAATTTGTTTCTATACTAAGTTTAAGTGTACGTGTGGAATCCTGGTGGCACTGCAGGATAAAGCACTGAAATGCAAGATTGGTTTGAACCACAAGGTTGGCAGTTCAAACTCACCGGTCACTCCTTGAAAACCCTATAAAGGGTCGCTATTTAACAACAACAATGTAACATATTAGAATAAAATGTACAACATAAAATATTGTTTTAATATAAAATCTAATAAAGAAAAATGATTTACTTGGCCCAATTTTCTCATTATGGTTCTATGATTTTTCCCTCAGAGGTCCCACCAAGTTCTAGAAGGGACACAGAAACAGGAAGTACATCCAAAGATGTCAATCAGCTTGGAAAGGGTCTGAAAATGTCACATGAATTATAGAGGAAGGAATGGAAGATACTTATCTTGAAAAAAATAATACTACTTACTCAATGTCCTGTGGTTAATAAAAATAGCAATATAAAACAGGCAGTTGGCATCAAGTTGATTCCAACTCATGGAGACCTCATATGTGTCAGAGGAGAACTATGATCGTGGGGTTTTCAATAACTGAATTGTTGGAAATAGACTGCCAGTACTTTCTTCTGAGGTGCCTCAGGGTAGACTTGAACATCCAACATTTCAGTTAGCAGCTGTGCACATTATTCATTTGCAACATCTATAGACTCGCATATAACAATAGCTAACACTGTGTTTACCTGTGCCAGGCATGGCATTAGGCATTTGGTATGTGTATGTGTATGCATGAATAAACACACATACACACATATCCTTATAAGAGATAAAGAAAATAAACCTCAAACGTTGGATAATATTCTCAAGGTTAGGAGTTGGCTGATGTAATATAGTCAGGCCTTTCTAGTACTAAGCCTGTGTCTTTCCCACTAATTCATGTTAGCTCTCAATTTCTAAGTTCAATTTTTCAAAATGAGTTTATTCCAAATGGCAAAGTTGGACCAAGGGAAGCAGACATGAACTCCAGTTATCTAGCAATAGACATTTTCACGGGCTGCCTCTTGAAGTGGTCAGCTCATGAGATGCTCCAACAGAGACTGAAAAACCACCTGACAGGACAGATCTCTGGTAAAGAAAGATGCATCCATATAAACTAGGGAGTCTATAGGTCCCAAATACTTACAGTATCAGAGTACTCATGACATACCGTGCTGAACTTGTCATCGCCAAGCAAAAGGTATCATCAAAACTACTCAATTCATATGGCCGGAAGAACTCATTATGGATATCAATCTCTTCTTCATGTTTGTGAAATTTCTTCACTATCAACTTCTTTAAGTTTGCAGCACAGATAACTAAGAGAGACGCTACCTGTTACTCTTCAACTCTTTAAATTACATGCAGCAAACATTTATGTAATACCACTCTGGTAAGCTCTATGGAGCACACAGTACTGAACGCGGCTCAGCCCCTGTCTCTGTTGCATACACACTTGGAAAGATAAGATACATGTACAACACAAAGCTGAGAGTGACAAGCTTGAATGAGGCATGAGACCTCTGAAACCCAGGGTGCGGTGGGGAGGTTATTTTATTTATTTATTTTGGACTGTTTTTTTGTAGTTTCAGTGAAGTTTTACAGAGCAAATTAGTTTCCCATTCAACAATTCATACACATTTTGTTTCATGACATTGGTTGCAATCACCTCAATGTCAAAACACTCTTTCAATTTCCCTTCTGGGGTTCTGGTTTCCAGTCATCCTTCCTTCCTGCTCCCTTCTGTATTCTGAGCTTTGTTTTAGGGTGAACAATGCCAGTTTGGTCTCATATGTTTGATGTTCTGAGGAGCATGTTCCAGCCTGCTGTTACTGCTTACTTTTATAAGACTGTCTATTGTTTTGCTGAAACTCGAGCCCCAGGCATGGGTTCTATACTAGGCTTGAAGGATATCTAAGGACCACAGCCTCAAAGGTTCCATCAGTCTCTATTAGACCAATAAACTGGTCTTCATGATTTTGAATTTTTTCTACCTTCCCCCCACCTGCCACCCAGAAAGGTTATTTTAGAAGTCAAATTACTGAGCTCCTTAAATTTCTTTTTGCTCTTAGATAAATACCTTCTGCCTTACAGATAAAAATCATGCAGTAATTTTATTAAGCTTTTCTGTATGTAGTATTTCAAATTTTGTTAATGCCCAGTGTTAGATTGTTTTCTTTTTCTTGCTCCCAGAAAAACCAAATCTTCTTAGCAATGTGGACTATGATTGTGCTCAGAGTTTCAAAGTCATGAATCCTCTTCTAAAATGAATTCATCATTCATTAAGAATTAAAAACCATTTATAATCTTCTTTTCATGACCTTCATCATGCAAAGCTTGGGGAGTAAGACCATGGCTACTTACAGCCTATGGTCAAGGGAATCAGTAATAGAGGCAGGGTAAACTGGCTCGATTTAAAATGGGGCAATTCTTAAATTTGAAAACATTGTTCTAGTATATTGCACATTTGCAGATATTCCTTCAATATAAAAATTTCCTGTTTTCAGATAAACAAAATTTAATTAAACTTTAGCGACCAAAATATATGTGCATACAAACATCTTTACCCCTTTTTTTCACTGATTGGACATATGGGGGCGGGGATTACTTCTCTCTGGGAATGGGCCTTTATTTCCTCCCCATTCCTGAAAAAGATCTAAAGCTATAATCAGCATTAAGCTCTTTTACAATGGTGAAGGAATATATAATTCTTCATCCATTAAATATATGCGGGACATGCCAAATAACTGTTAAGACAGAACACAATGCATTAGCCTGGTCAGATAAAAGAACTACAACATAATGTCTGCATTTATGAAGCTGTTTAAGTGACGGTACAACTTTCTATCTATCAAAACAGCAGTAAGAACACTGAGCGTATAAAACATTATATGTAAAGGATTTAATGTTTCAAGTTTATTTAGGTATAATTCCAAAACATGCTATAGCAAAAACGCAAAGTGAAACAGTGTACCTACCTTCATCATAGGGCAATGGTAAATGTTTTATTATCTCTGGTGTCCACCAATGAGTATAACTATTAAGAAAAAAGGGTAAGATGAGCTGAATGTAAATGTTGGTTTTCTACAGTTCATTGCAGCATAAACAGTTAATTTTGGCTACTCCAATACTAGCCAAAAGGTTGGTGATTCAAACCCACCCAGAGGCACCTTGGAGACAGGCCTGGTCAAGTACTTCTGAAAGGTACAGACCTGAAAACTGTAAAGGACAAGTCTATTCTGCACACATTGGATTGTCAGGAGCTGGAACCAATTAGAAGGCAACTAACAGTAACAACTAACAATGACATGTTGTAGCTGTTAAGTGCCATCATGTCAGTTCCGACTCATAGTGACCCTGTCTAGGGTTTCCAAGGAGTGGCTGGTGGGTTTGAACACCTGACATTATGGCTAGCAGTCCAATGCTTATCCTACAGCTCACCTAGTAAGATAAAAACAAAACAAAACAAAACCTACTGCCATTGAGTTGATTCCAAACCATAGCAACCCTATATAAGGTTTCTGAAACTATAAATCTTTATGGGAGCCACTTGTGGATTTGAACTGTCAACCTTTTGTTTAGCAGCCAAAAGCCTAACCTACAGTGCCACGAGGGTTCCTTTGAAAGTAAGATGTTATTGTTGTTAAGTGCTGTCAAGTTGGTGTTGACTCATAGTAACCCTGTATAGGATTTCCAAGGAGTGGCTACAGGGTTTGAAACAGCAACCCTGTGGTTAACATTCCAGTGCTTATCTTAAAGAACCACACCAGGACCCCCTATAGTAAGATATCGTCTCCTATTTTAAAGTTGTTTTTTTTTTTTTCTTTTTAAAATGTGTTTGTGAGCAGCTTTTGGCACAGAGCAGGTCTTGGGCTTGTTAGTCTGTTTCCCCATCCCTCTCTTGTTTCAGTTACATCACAGGTCTACAAGAATGCCATGAACATGCATCTCAGGGTCCCAGTAATTCTGACATTACTTAGGCTGTACTAGCCCAGGCCATCACAAGCTGCTGTTCACTTGTCTCTAGACAGTGAGTCTGCAGTTATGACGCCACCAGGTGGGCCAAGTCCTTGTTGTGGCTGTTGTGCTGTTGTGTGGCAGCAAGTCGATTCCAACTCATTGCGACCCTACAGGGCAGAGTAGAACTGCCCCATTGGGTTTCCATGGCTGGGATCATTACAGAAACAAACTGTCGCATCTTTCACCCATGGAGCAGCTGGTGGGTTCAAACCACTGCCTATGGTCAGTGGCTGAGCGTAAAACCAGTGAATCACCAGGGCTCTTTAAGAAACAGTATAAACCAAAAGCCCACTGCCATCTACTCGATTCCAATGCATAGCCACCCTATGTTGTTGTTAAGTACTGCCATGTCAGTTAAACCATAGTGACCCTGTAGAGGGTTCCCAAGGAGCAGCTGGTGAGCTTGAACCACCAACCTTGCAGTTCTAACTACTCTGCACTCTAGTGCATTAACCCACAGCACCACACCAGGACTCCATTAACAACACTTTAGGACAGAGTCAAACTGCTCCTTTGGTTTTCTGAGCCGGTATATCTTTTGGGAAGCAGACAGCCTTATCTTTCTACTGAGGAGTGGCTGGTGGGTTTGAACTGCGGTCAGCAGCCCAGTGGCTATAGTTCTTGCTACATTTTAACTGTAAATACCCACTTGATTACAGAAATCAGAGTAAAAGTAGGGAATTTCAATTTCATCTGCATTTCTGCTAAAAGATTAATCAGCTAGGAGCAGAAAATCTGCAAGGATGGTGACCTGGCTTCTCTCTGAACACTAAATTGACTTCTAAATCAAATTCTGATGAAATGGAAATTAAGAAAAACTACTCATGGGGGCTAGTAAGGGAAATGATGAGCACAGTGTATCAAATTAAAAAAAAAAAAATTCCAAAGATTCAGAAAAAAGAGCCTATGGCCAAAACTGCTATAAAGAGAACTTAAATTGAATGAAAGTCTTTCTAGAAATAAAATGCTGATATTACATTTGAATAATTGCAATTATGAAGAAACAAGGGAGTATTTAATGAAACTAACAACATAGGGCACTTTCCAAGGAGCTTGGACTTAGAAAGCCTCTGTGCTAGACACAGTAAGCAGGATATGTAACCAAGGACAATGGAAAAGGAACCTGGGATCTAAGGCATTGTAAGGGCGAGAGTGCCATGGTAACAGGAGACGATCCTAATATTCTGCACTAGATTAAAGTTATGTTAGAGCAGTGCTCCTCTAAGTCCGGTGCATCACCGAATCACCTGGGGAGCCTGTTAAAAGGCAGGTTCTGAAACATGCATGGGGACTTGAGATTTTGCCTTTATGACAAGCTTCCAGATGGTGCCAAAGTATGAAAAGATCAGATATGAGAGAAGTCTGCTGCTGGTGGCAAATTCGCTCTGTCATTTGGCTTTTACTAAGTACCTACTGTGAGTCAGACACTGCTCTAGGTGCTAGAAATGCTGTGTTGAACATAAGACTAGTGAAAGTAGAGCTACTTTATTGTGCTATTGCGTCTATATTCACCAGTCATGACAAGATTCATACTGCCAAGAGGAAATATACAAGGTAAGCGGAACCACAGCCCAAGAAGCAGATGGAAGCCACAGAGCCACTTTAAAAGCACTCAAGAAGCTGTCTAACAGATACTACTACTGTCTACCTATTAAAATCAAGACATAACACGGATTAGCCACCCATAGTGTCTCATTCAAGTGGAATGGTGCAGTTGAAATCGAGAGTCTTTTAAAGAATAGTGGGGAATGAACTTACACTGGAAATGGGTAGACGCAGACTTGAGTCTCTAAAGTAAGAGGGAGATAGATTCCAGAAACTATACTTCAATGAGCATGATGTCAAGCCCAGCAAGATAACAAAATCAAGTACTAGACAGCAATGTGTTGTGATGTAGTGACATGTGAATTCTAGGAATTCACACATATTCACCAGAACAAGCCACACCACGCTGATCACATTTTCTTTTGTGTAGGCGAATCAGACTGACAAACTGAGGTAACAAAAGAGACAAGGGTATTTGTTTAAGAGGTATGTGCGTATGTTAGCCCATATTTATTTAAGTGTGCATGGCTTAAAGTACTATATTGTGAACTTAAAATCCATTGAACTGATTTAAACTCATAGCAAACCCATGTGTGTCAACACAGAACTATGCTCTGCTGGGCTCTCAACAGCTGATTTTCAGAAACGGGTTGCCAGGACTTTCTTCCAAGGTGCCTATGGGTAAAAATCCTGATACTGAGTTCACTGGTTGTTCATTTCTGAACAATCAGACATTGAAAACCTTATGGAGCACAGTTCTACTTTGACACACATGAAGTCAACATGTGTTAAAGTTAACTTGATAGCAACTGGTTTTTGGTCTAACCTTGAAGGAAAGTCAAAAAGGTATCAACTAGTATATGAAGAATTTCCTAGAGAGTATTGTTGGTGTGGCTCTGTAGGATAAGCACTGGACTACAAGATCGGTTTGAATCACAAGGTCAGTGGTTCAAACTCACCAGCCACTCCTTGGAAACCCTATACAGGGTTTCTGTGTCAGAACTGTCTTTACAGCACTTAACAATAACAACACTGCTTATGCCTAACTTGTTTAGGAAAAAGAAGTAAACACCACAGCGTATGTGTTTTAACTAAGAATGCATATTTAGAATATGGAAAAAAAAAGAAGAAAAAATCTTGTATTAGTGATTTGAGACTGGGCTATACTTCCCTCTCCCTGCCCCACCCTAATATTATGCTGAAGAAACTGAGGCGATTTAGCTTGAAGAAAGATATTTTGAGAAGGCATGAAGTTGTCTTCAAATGTTCAAAAGACTGCCAATTGCATGAGGAAATAATGTTATTAAAGTCTCAGGGGGCTGAACTAGGATTAGTGGCTAATTTACAGAGAAACACATCTCAACACAATAGGAGAAAGAATTGTGTTAGTGAACTGTCCACTAACAACAGTCTCCTTAACCACGCACTTCCCAGTTGAGAAACCAGGACTTGCCAAGCAAGGGCCACATGCCCTCTACCTGGAACAGAGGAACTCTTGTATCAGGCAGAGAGCAGGGCCAGTAAACCTCCCAATTGTAAGTGTCAATAAAATAATTAATGCTTAATATCTAAAATCATCTTGGTGACACTGTAAACACTGGTGCTGTGGATTAATGCACCAGACTGCAAAGCCATTTGAACTGCAAGGTCGGTGGTTCAAACTCACCAGCTACTCCTTAGAAACCATATACAGGGTCACTATGGGTTGGAACCAACTCGACAGCACTTCACAACACAACAACATAACTTATTTTTAATAATGATGTTCTGTACTTAACATCTTAGGTAAAATTAAAAACTCTTAGGTAATCAATAAATAAAAATGGTTACTAGCCACAGTTTCCCAAACCTATAATCAGTATATCAACAATAGTAAACTCTCCATGGCAAATGTATGGGAAAATTGACTTTTATCTAATGATTATTTTTCAAAAGGAAAAGTGTCTCATATTCAAACATTAAATCTGAGTTTAAATGATAGACTAGAATTAAAAATACCTTCTTCTTGTGGGTAAAAGTCCCATCGTATTTTTGTGATGCAAATAAAAATCTGTGGGGAGTTCCCAGAGATGAGGTTTTCCTTCAGTGGGATGGAAAACACGCAGGAAGAGATTAATGGAGTCTTGTCTATCAGCATCTAAAAAGCAAAAATAGGTATTTCAGGAAATCCATTAAGAACATATACAACTCAAAAGAACACTTTCACAGGAGGCGTGCGGTACAACGATACATTCATAGAACTTGTCTCTAAAAATAATAGCATTTATGCTTCAAAAGTCATGCACAAAACAGACACTCTACAACAGCCACCAAAGTCTTAAACAGAATTAAAATCTTGTTTCAGAATGTTTACGTTTTGGCCATGTTGTTGTTGTTGTTGTTAAGTGCAGTTAAGTCAGTTCTGACCAATAGCGACCCTATATAGGGTTTCCTAGGAGCAGCTGGTAAGCTTGAACAGCCGATCTTGCAGTTCAAAGTGATTTTGCAGTCCAGCACATTAACCTACAGCACCACACAAGGACTCCAATGCTCTCAAAATATAGAAGATGGAACACAAAAAGCTTCATGAATGTTATTGAGACAGCCTCTTTGAAAATCTTAAAGAACTTCCATAAAACCTTAGAGATTTGTTTTAATTTAAAATTGAAGTACTTTCTCACTCTTTGTTCATTTATTTGAAATGACTACTTTATGGCAAAGATAAGCACAGACTTCACAGACAAATCAAATGATCCAATTCCTATCCCAATTTTGTTAATCAGCCTTGAAAAGTCATTGCATAGTTTTCTACTTTTAACCCTGGAAAAGATTGTGTTCTTGAGCACTAATAATGTTTACAGCATTCTCTGTCCCCCTCAGTTGTGAGGCTGACCTATTCTCCTTTTGTGTTTAATAAAGAAGGCAGTGGGAGCTCATGCGTAAAAGTCATTCTAACTATTCAACTACTCCAAAATTGTCTTTCCTAACTGTACTACAAACTAATAAAACTGAGTCTGTTTCTTTTATCTCCTCTTCCGTTTCTTAATTATGTTTTGGCAAAAAATGGTACCAAGCACTGAAGTGGTCTCATGGACCACCATTCCCCTTCTTATACACTCTCCCCCCTAGTGCTTCATTCTTCCCCCTCATTTCCTCTGTCCATTCAGGTCTCAGAGTTCTACATATTCAAACTGGGGACCAACATCTACAATACAAGTAATAACCTCGTTCTGAAAATGAGTTATCAGGTGGACAAGAGAACACAGTAGAAAAGGACTGCTTTTGGAACACGATAACATCATCATAAAATCCATTTTCTTTCAACAGCCATAGTGAACACAGGTAGCTCTGAAATTAGGAACATTGTCCTCATTGGGTTATTTGGTCATTTTGACAAGAGAAAATAAATGATATAGTACATTAACCCGATATTCCAGTTAGTAGTATTTTGACAGGAAATGTTCCATTAAAATAACACTTATCTTTCAGTCTACAAGGAACATATTAAAGGAATGTGTTCATATGCTGACTATATTTAGGGTCTTTTGATATTTTTTTTACCATTTGTTATGAGAAAACAGTAATTATTAAATGATGGAGATATTACTGTCCCAATTTGCACCTTCTTTATAAAGTACAAAAGTAAACATACTACTCTTATACTCATTATATTCTATATGCGTCTGTCATTACCATAATGAAACTTGACAAGGGCTTTTGAGTCTATTACAATTTACAGCAAGTCTGTATAGGGTTTCCAAGGAGCTGCTGGTGGACTCGAACCGCCAACCTTAAATAGGGTTAGCAGCCCAGTGCTTATCCTACAGAGCCACACCAGGACTCCTCACTTTAGTATCTCAAAATATCTTAAATATCATCTAGAGAAGCTTTCCATTTTCAGTCACGTTTTTGAGTTCCTCTCATTGTTTAAAGTCAGTACAGGCAATTCCTGGGTTATGAACCAGATTTGTTTTTAGGTCAGTAAGGTGCATATGGTTCTTATTTAGCCTTACTTTAGTGCAAGAAAAGGCTCAAAACCTTTTCAATGATTTAAAAACTACACAAGTAGCAAGTGTAGGTAATTGTGATGAATTTGTTGTGAGTAGGAGTTGGTTCAATCATTTCAAAGTGAAAGCATACTTATATATCGCTGTAGGATCAGCACTGTACTGCTAACCACAAGGTTTGTGGTTCAAACCCACCATCTGCTACTTGGAAACCCAATAGAGGGTCACTATGAGTCAGAACTGACTGGACAAAACTTAACAACAACAAAGGGCAATTATGAACTGTCCATGAACCAGACATTCATAACCAAACAACTTATTGTAGTGGTGATGGTGGTAGTACTTATTGTAGTGAGTGGGTTCCAACTCATAGTGATTCTGTTATAGGGTTTCCAAGATTGTACATTTATATGGGAACTTGTTGTTGTTGTTAAATACTGTGTAGTCTGTTCCAACTCATAGCAATCCTGTGTAGGGTTTCCAAGGCTATAAATCTAATTGGGAGCTTGTTGTTGTTAAGTGCCATGAAATTGGTTCCAACTCATAGCAATCCTGTATCGGGTTTCCAAGGCT